CCTGTAACAAAAAGAAAAAAAAAAAAAGAAAACCTCTCTCTCTAAAAATATGTGTGTGTGTGTGTGTGTGTGTGATGCTACACACATCTCATTTTTTAAAATCAATGATTTATTTAATAAATATTTAGTGAGCATGTGTATGTGCCAAGAATTAAGCTACACACTAAGGATACAATTCTGAACAAGATGGAGAGTTCCCAGGCTGTGGGACAGCTATGAGGTTGAGGAACAGAAGATGGAATAAGTCAATAAATGCACAAGATGATAAAGGGGTAATAGTGTCCCAGTTTTATGAAGACTGGGTGCTAGACAGCAAGGTGGATGCTCTGGCTGTGAGGGTAGGGCAGGCATCTCTGGGGAGGCGGCATTTGGAGAAAGCTTGGCAAAGTCAGGAGGATGTGGTATATGCGGCATTTCCGGATTTTAGTAAAGCCTTGGGAAAAACTCCTTCACATATTTACTAAAAGGTGTTATGTGCTTATTCTGTAGCAAATGCTGTTTTATTTATGTACTTGACAGTCTTTACTTAATCCTTGCGAACACGTGATCATGGGTACATTTTGTCTAGTTTGCAGGTGAAGATGTGGAGGCTCAGAAAGATTGGGACCTGCATGAGGTGAGAGATATGGAGTTGGGGTAGAATGTCCCACCCCCTCCTCCACCTGGATTTGTCACCCCAGTACTGTCTTTGTCAACATGACAGAAATGTAGGGTTGATGATTTGTAACTCAACGAATGACTATTCCCAAGAGCTGCTGACCGCTCTGTGAAAGGGAGTTGGTCACCGCGGTGGCTCGTACTGGTGTCAGCCGCATGAAGGCTCAGTGGCTCACGGGTCTGCCCGCTCTCCAACCACTCTGGCACAAGCTATGCCAAGGTACTGGCGATTTCTGCAGCACGTACTTTTGTACTTCCCTTCCTCTTCAAGGAGGCCCCTCGACCCTGACTGAGGCTGCTCTTACTCTTGGAGACCCAGCTGATGCCCCCTTCTCCTTCAAGAGTCAATGCAAACAAGAGGGAGTGGTCACTTAAGTTCTTGGGGAGAAATATGGCAGGCATTCCAAATCCACATAGGCTCATTAAAAATGTCATGCTACACACATCGCATTTTTAAAAATCCATTATTTATTTAACAAATATTTAGCGAGCTCGTCTATGTGTCAAGAATTAAGCTAGACGCTAAGGACGCCGTTCTGAATGAGGTGGAAAGTTCCCAGGCTTCCTCCATAAAACCTTCCTCCATAAAACCTTCCCCCCAAACTGACATTTGGTTTCCAGTTGCCTTCCCAACAGCGATCACCCTACTTGTCCTTTGAGAACAGAGGAACGATTTCGACCAATTGGTAATGGACACAGAGAAGACTAGCCTATCCCCAGAGGGTGAGGCACAACTAACCAAATCCATATCTCTTGGTCGGTGATTGGGTTAGGGATACACACATGGTCTTACGTTGACCAATGAGATCTGACTGGAGAAGATCCGGGAGAGCTTTTCTTCCTCCATGAAAAAGGACAATCATATGAAGACATGCCCCCCACCCCTCTTGCCACTGGCCTCATTCTCTGGGGAAGTCACATACCGTAAGTACAGCAGTAGCCATCTGACCTTCAGGTAACAGCAAACAGGCCAGCTCCATATTCCGACATCACTGAGCTGCCGAATCACCTATCCTTGGAACTGCCCTCCTCCAGGCTTCTTGCTATCTGGAATGGCAAGCCCTTTGGCTAGCACCACTTTTACTTTGGTGTTTGTTACCTGAAGTCACTAGCAGCCTAACTGGTCCTACAGAGCACCTCTTTTGTGGTACGTTATCACTCTGGATCTGGATCTTGTCCAGTGTTGCACACTAGAAACCCCTTTAAGGGACTAGTCCTTCTTATGGAAGAGTCCCCAGTTTTCAACACAAAATTCGAAACAGGAAGGGTGCTCAATAAATAAATGAAAGGAAGAACAGAGGGAAGGGAAGAAGGATAGATGGAAGGAAGGGTGTGAGGACAAGTCAGCCGATGACGTGAACTTAGGAGGCATCGTCAATTCTTAGAATCCAATAACCGGGATCTACGAAAAGATGAGCAGAGGAAGTCAAGAGCCAAACACTGAGAGGTGAGCTTGAAGTGAGATCAGATTGGTTCTTGGCCCCAGACTTGCAGGGGAGATAGGAGGAGTGCATGACTCAGCAGTCACTAGACATGTCTCAGCACTGTCACGAGACTACCATAGAAACCCAGTGATAATTAGGATTATCTTCCAATAGTTGCTCTTGGGATATGGAGAAGGATGATAGGTAAGTGACAAATGGCCTCAGCTGTGTAATGAGAAGAGCTGGGGGCAGGGAGTTGGACTGAAGGTGGGACAGGGTGGGTGTTATCAGTCTGTCACTATTGCCAAGGGGGGCTTCATCCCAACACTGAAATACTTCTGACCATTTGGACACCCCAACTGCATTTTCCAAGCCCTTCTCAATGCCCTCATGGACTTCCCCATGCACCTTCTTTCTTACCGTCTCTCTCTAAAGTCAGCAGGTGTTCTGACCTGTCTCCCCACAGAGCCCATGCGGTGTGCTCCCCTGCACGGATGTCACAGATCCCTGGCCACCTTTTCTTCACTTTCATAGAGGCATCTCTCTTTCCCTGGAGGCAGCCACATAGACTTCTCAGCTTGAGTCCAATGCCCCAAGTGGCTGCTTTTTGAGATGAACTCTCTGCCTGACTGGCAGCTGCAGGGCAATGCCTGGCCTTCCAGAAGAGCTGGGCTTGGGTTTCCCTGGGCTCATCCTGCTGTGAGCCTTGCGTGATCCTTTACTTCAGGGCCTCCAGAACTTCATCTGTCAAATGGGCACACAAATGCACCCACAGACTTACTGTATGTCCTAAGGGGGTAAGAGGGGAAGCGGGTTTAAGAGGGCCAGGGCTGGCTTCATGGGCATGAGTCCTGTGGAAGGTACAGGGCTCTGTGTTCCAAAAGGCCCTGTACTTGGTTTAATGTCCTGCTCTCACTTCCTAAAATTCTTAATAATGTTTGAACAAGGGGTCCACATTTAAATTTTGTATCGAGTTCCACAAATTATGCAGTTGGTCCTCTGGAGGGCTTTGAAAACCAAAAGCACTGTAAAAATGCACAGGAAGTGCTGTTGTTGCTAGCACTAAAGTTAATCTCCACATTCTGAAGGGACATGCATGTGTTGGGAGTGTGGGCTTTTCTGCAAGCTTGGAATGCTGGACAACACAGAAACTCATGCCTCATTCCCCAGGTCCTCGCCCAGGTCCCCCAAGTGCTTCTGGAGTGCTCAACCTGCGTTTCCAAAGTGCTGACTTTACTGACTCTGTTGTGATTCTCCGCTGGGCCTGACTAGCTGTGCTCTGCAAATTTTTGCAAATCTCTTCCCTCTCTGGGCGCCACTTGACTGACCTGCATAAAGTGGAGCGCCAACCATCCCCAGGATAATCTCCTCCCTGCTGCTCTGCACCTGTTGAAAGTCTGCTCCTCTGAGTCTGGCCAAGCAACTCTGCCCCTAGCGGGAGTTGGAAGAATGAAACTCCCTTTCAGGAAGAAGAGGTTAGAGCCACCACCACCTGCTCCTGCCGCCTTTGCTGTCCTCCGCCTCTGGGAACATCTGATCAGCTAGCCCTGGGTGAGGACAGGACCCACCAATGCACCTGGCAGGGCAGAGAGGATGCTGTGACTTGCAGACTTCTGAGAAGTAGGGGCGGGGCTCCTCAGCGCGTGTCTAAGCCTTAGGGATGGATCCAGCCTGTATTTAAGGAGAGGATTTGTGTATAGGATATGTGTGTGTGACTGTTCAGCATCTGTCCAGTTGTGTGTGTGTGTGTGTCACAGACAGCCTGTGGGCTGATGTCCTCTGTGTCCCTCTATACGAGAGATGTCTGATAGTGGTCTTGGGTGTGTGAGACTGCTTGTATGGGTGACTATATCCAGGTGTGGGTCTGTGTTGGTGTGGGGCAGTACAACGACCTGGTGGCAGAGTCCTGAGTGTGTAGGCATGGGAGATGGTATTGGTGTACGTGTCCCTAGGGTTGCGGTTGTGTGTGGGACTGTCTCAGTGTGTGTGTTCTGACATGGGCTTATTTCTGGTATGTGTCACGTATGTATGTATGTGTGTGTCTGAAGACATAGTTGTCCATGTCTAGCTCTGCATGGGACAGAGATTCGATGACCCACTGACTGTGTATTTGTATTAGAGGAATACAAACTGTGGGAGTCTGTCACAGGGTCCCAGTTTGTTTCTGAGTGAGTGGGACAGAGTCCAGAATGCGTGAGTGTGGGTGTCAGTGTATCTGTCTATGAAGCAATGATTCAGTGTGTATCAGACAGTGTGTGTCTGTCACTGTGAGCGAGCGTGGTGGGGTGCGCTCCTCAGTGTGGCGCTGCCCAGTGTGTTTGTGTGTCTGTGTGTCCAGGTGTGAGCACCGCCGTGCATGTAGTAGAGCCCGTGAGGCTCCAATGCGAGGCTATGGCTGCGTGTGTGTGTGCATGTGTGTGCGTGGATCACAGTGGATGTCTGAGTCTAGGCTTGGCACTGGCGCTCTGCCCCAGCCCAGGTGAGTGTCTCGCTGTCCCGGGCAGGGTGTGGGGCCCTGCCTACGAAGCTGCGACCCC